CTTCCGCTGCATTTGGGATGAATAATGCTACTATGAGTATCTGTGTGCAGGTTTCTGTTTGGGTGTGTTTTCATTTTTCTTGGATTAGAATTGCTCAGTCACATGGTAATTCTATGTTTAGCCTTTTGAAGAACCACCAAACTGTTTTCTAGTAGTAGCCGCACCATTTTATAACTATGAACAGCAATGTACGAAGAGTTCTCATTTCTCCACATTCTTTCTAACACTCATTTCCATAAAAAATACCTATATATATGTGTATATATACATATATATCTCCGTCTCAGTGACTGTGAAGTGGTATTTCATTGTGGTTCTGATATGCACTTCCTTAATAACCAGCATGTTGAACATCTTTTCACATGCTGACTGGCATTTTCTTTCTCTTCTTTGGAGAAAGGTCTATTTAAATCCTTTACCCTTTTAAAAATATTTAAAGATTTATTTTAGAGAGAGCGTGAGCAGGGGGTAGGAGCAGAGGGAGAGGACGAATCCTCAAGAAGACTCCCTGCTGAATGTGAGCTCGACACAGGGCTCAACCCCATGACCCCGAGATCAAGACCTGAGCTGAAATCAAGAGCCAGCTGCTTAACCAACAGAGCCATTCAGGCACCAGCACCCCACCCCACCCCTTGCTCATTTTAAAATTGGGTTTTCGTTAGGTTGTAAGAATTCTATATTCTGGATACGAAACCCATTATCATATAAATGATTTGCACATCCCTTCTCCCATTCTGTAGGTCATCTTTTCACTTTCCTGATGGATAAAAGTTCTTAATTTTTATGAAGTCTTTGTACCCTGCAACTTTGCTGCATTTGCTCATTAGCTCTAGTAGTTTTTTGGTGGATTCTTTGGGATTTTCTACATATGGAATTATGTCACCTGGAAATAGTTTTACTTCTTTTCAACGTGGGTGCTTTTTCTTTTTGTTGCTCAAATGCTCTGCCAAGACTTCCAATACTATGTTGAATAGCAGTAGTAAATTTACAAATCCTTTTTTAAAAGAATGTTTTTTAAATTTTAATTCAGAGAGGTACAGGTCTGACTCATCAGTCTTATGTAGCACCCAGTGCTTGTTACATCACATGCCTTCCTTAATGCCTATCACCCAGTTACCCCATCCCCCCACTCCCCTCCAGCAACCCTGTTTCCTATGATTAAGAGTCTCTTTTGGTTTGTCTCCCTCTCTAGTTTCATCTTGTTTCATTTTTTCCTCTTTTCGCCTATGATCCTGTTTTTTCTAATTCCATATAGTAAAAAAAAAAAAATAAATTCCGTGTATCAGTGAGATAATTGTCTCTGACTGATTTCACTTAGCCTAACACCCTCTATGTCCATCCACATCCGTGCAAACAGTAAGATTTCACTTTTTTTTGATGGCTGCATACTAAATCCTTATCTTGCTCCTGATCTTCACAGGGAAGCTTTCAGTCTTTCACCAAGTATGCTAGCTGTGGGTTTTCCATAGATACCCTTTTATGATGCTCTGCAAGTATTCCTAGTTTTCTTGAGTGTTTCATGATAGGGCATTGAATTTTGTCAAGTGCCTTTTTTGCATCAATTGATCATGTGGTTTTCTTTGTTCTCTTAACATGGTGTATTACATTATTTTCTTTTGAACTACCCTTGTATCTCTGTGATAAATCCCACTTGATCATGGTGTTTAATCTTCTAAAATGTGCTGCTGGGGGAGGTGGGCCTGGGTGGCTCAGTCAGTTGGATGTCCAGCTCTTGATTTCAGCTCAGGTCATCTCAGAGTCCTGGGATTGAGCCCTAATTCAGACTCTCTGCTTGGCTGAGTCTGCTGGAGAGTCTCCCTCCCTCTGCCCTTCCCCTCCTCTCTAAAATAAATAAACTTTTAAAAATAAATGTGCTGGTTTAGTTTGTGTTTTGTGGAAATTTTTGCATCTATATTCATAAAGGATATCAGCCTATGGTTTTTCCCCCTTATCTGTCTGTTCACTTAATTTTAAATCCGTAACTAAGACGAAAAATAAGCCAATTCTATAATTCTGAGCTGATCTTAGTAGTGACAAAGAATATTATCAAAAGAAATTTTAAATCTTCCTGAAACATAAAATCCAAGACTTTAGTGATTTAAACTTGAGATTTTCTTATGTCTACCATAGAGAATGCTGTATGGTTGGCATTGGAAAGAGAGGTTTGCCTAGGGTTCCATGATGGCTGGTTATTAGATAAAATAGTAATTTGGCCTCATGACTCCGTGATAGGTGGTCAGCATCTTAAGGAAATGCGAATTGAAACATAGACCATGAAGGACATCTGCACCCTAATAGGTTTTTCTTGATTTCCTTTTATGTTTCATTCCACCTTCCCACTGGAGAAAAAAAGTTAATTTTTAAAAATTCCTTCAATGTACTTCTGTACATGACCATCTATTATATTTCCTAGGCATTTAGAAACCTGGGGTTAAGAGCAAAAGCTGGCTGCCTAATTAAGTTTGCCCTGATAGTTCAAAGGTATTTTAACACACTGACCACATCAATTCCCAATCTTTATTCAAACTGCTCCCTACCGGCCAGAGTAATGAGGGGAAACGGGCATGGAGGATTATCTGCACAGCAACAGCTACACAGCAAGCTAGTGACTGAGCAGAGCTGGCCCAGTTCTCAGGAAACCTCCCTCCTAAGCCATCTGCCCTCCATCTTACATTTATCAAAAATGCAAACTGATTACGGCAAGCGAGCAAGCAACAAGCTTGGTCAAGCCTAGAAAGTCTGCTGCATAGCGGGGAAACCATTTTGCCCTCGTCGGCTGTGGAAGGCCCTGCGTAAACTGCCGCCAAGCCTTTCCCGTGGCTGACCCTGTGCAGGTGCAGCCCAGACACCAGCAAAACAGTGAGACGAAAACGTCACATGTGGATGGGAAGGAAGGTATGCACATATGTAATAAAAAAAACTGGTCCTCTGGGAATCTTTCAGTTAGGCTCTTTTTAGCTTGGATGACGGCCTGGTATGCTTTAGTGGTCTGCCAAGCCTGTTCATATGATTTTTGAAGTACCTTCTCTAAACTCCTACTAATTAAGTGAAACTAGATGGCAGCGTCGGCTCATTCCTTCAGCTTCACATTTTTACACATGCCTACTATCCATGAGAAGCTATGAGAGCGGCACCAAGAGCCCACAGGCTCCAGTGTCATTAGATGGAAGATCTGGAAGAGAGACTATTGCCAGACATGCAAACTGCACAGATGCCGGCCAGGCACCTCCCCAAGTTCTGCCAGGATTTCGAGGAAGGAACTATTAGCCTCACCCTTACTGTGACCCTTATCTTCTGCTGAGGCCTTTCTTGCAGCCTGGAAACTGCAGGTGTGCCCTAGGGATGGGAATCTTCTTTGGGCTTGGCCATCCCAGGGTAAATCCACTCTGGCTGTGGAGTCGTCTAGCTGATCTTTCAGCTGTGCAAGGATGACTGGGTAGGGGGCTGCAAGGCCATCTCTAAGTCATTAGGTCAAGCCATAGGAAATTTTATTTGACCATTCTGACCTTTGAAAATGGCTTTGTGTGGTTCAACCTAAACTTTCCTAAGGGAAAAGAAAGGCAAGAAACTGAAGCCCAAACTATTGTCTGCAGTAGATTCTATTCGATCTATTAGAAGTAGAATAGGTTTCCTAGAACATTAGTCTCCCAATTCATTTTTTCATCTTTCATCTTGTTTAAGGTTCTGTTATGGGGTGAACCATGTCCTCCCAAAAGGCATGCTGAAGTTCTAATCCCCTACCTCATAATGAGAACATATACAGAAATGGGTTCTTTTTTTTAAGTGGGGTCCATGACCCCAGCGCAGGGCTTGAACTCATGACCCTGAGATCAAGGCCTGAGCTGAGACCAAGAGTTAAATACTAAACTGACTGAACCACCCAGGTGCCACAGAAATGGGATCTTCATCAAGGTAATGAGTTTAAAGCAAGGTCATTAGTGTGGGCCCTACCAATCACTGGTGGCCTTATAAAAAGGGGAAATCTGGCCAGAGGGAAGATGATGGGAAGGCAGGAGTGATGCATCTACAAACCAAGGAATCGCTGAGGCTACCAGCAGCTAGGAGAGAGACTTGAGCAATCCCTTCCCTAGAGCCTTGAGAGGGAGCTTGGCCTTGTAGAACTCTTGATTTTCTATTTCTGGTTCCAGAACTGTGAGGCAATGAGTTCCTCTGTTGTTTTAAAGATTTTTTTATTTATTGATTTGACAGAGAGAGATCACAAGTAGACAGGCAGGCAAAGAGAGAGAGAGAGGGAAGCAGGCTCCCTGCTGAGCAGAGAGCCCGATGCGGGACTCGATCCCAGGACCCTGAGATCATGACCTGAGCTGAAGGCAGCGGCTTAATCCACTGAGCCACCCAGGCGCCCTCCTCTGTTGTTTTAAATCACCCAATATGTGATACTTTGTCATGGCAGCCCTGATGTGAAGGTCTGAATGTCTGTTCCCACCCCTGCTTTCGTATGTTGAAATCCTAACACCCAATGTGATTTTATCAGTAGGTGGGCTGTAGAGAAATATGTAATAAAGTGGAAGCCTTGTGTGCGGTTAGTGTCCTAATAAAAGAGGATCTAGAGAACCTCTAGCCCTTCCTACCATGTGAGGACACAGTGAGAAGGCATCAGCTCTAAGCCAGTTAAGCTAGCCTTCACCAGGTGACTGTGCTGTGTTTGATACTTGACTTTCTAGGTTCAAGAGCTGTGAACAATAAATTTCCATTGGTTATTTTGTTCTGTATTTTGTTATAGCAGCCTGAATGGATGAAGATACCTGGGAAGTAAATACAGGTTCCTTCCAGTGAAGATCAACTACGCTGTTGGTAAGACCCAACAGGACAGCTTACATTGAAAATGGTACAGCTATTTAATCCCTAGGATTCAGAGTTGAGGTATCATTCATTCCTAAAGGAACTAGTTGTGCTTCCTACTGTGGCCAAAAAGATTTGTTTGGATATAATAAAGCAAGCTTTGTAATTTACCTCTCTCTCTCTCTCTCTCTCACACACACACACACACCCCTTCCTTCAGTTTTCTGGCATTTTCTAGTTTGTGGTAAGAGTTTCAACATGAATTTTCTTCAGTCTGCAATGGGGCAGACACCATGCTTATGCAACCTTAAGGAGCCCATTCAAATTTAGGAGAACCAGAAACTTATTCTGAGGACACACAAAGAACTGCTGATACTGTCACAGAGAGTCCTTCTGTGTTAAAAGAGTTTAGAAGGTGCGAACAGCTCCTGGAGTTGTATTCCGAAGATTTGTTCAGGGAGATCAGTATTAGCAGGCTTCACCCCCTGGGGGGCCTCAAAAGCAGGTAAGCAGGGCAGGACCAGAGACACCAGCTTCTTCTGGAGGGAAGGAGAGTCCAGTGCAGGTTGGTGCAGAATGCACCAGAAACTTTTATGGCGAACTTTTTTTAGGATCCAGTTTTACAAATAAGCCTAAACAAACAAAATAACAGAAGGTGATTGTTAAGTTGGCTGACTACAGTTGGATGGGACTTCTCTGAGTAGAAATGTATACATATGGAAAGGGATTTTCACTCATAGTTGTACCTTCCCTCTTCGGGCCTACTCTCCTTTCTTAGCCAAATTAAGAGTCAGCTTTTGACTATCCCAATACAACAGCGCCTCCAGGAACCGTCCGCTCCCACTTGGTCATTTTCATGGTTCATTACCACGTCCATTGGAGAGAGTCAGGGAAGTGAAAGGAGATGAAATTACAACTAAGCCATATGGAACCTTTGATACTGAAAGCTTTAGGGAGATAGGACATATAAACCACAGCCTGGAATGGAGTCTTTAAATTTGCTATGGATTCAAATTATTCAGGATCCTATTCCTGCTTCTTTTACCCATCATTTCTGCAAACAGCTACTAATTGGCAGGGGGTGGGGAGGAGGAATAAATATTAAGACACAAAAAGGAATAATTGTAAAGGAAAAAAATTAATAAACACAACTATATTAAAAAAAAACCCCAAAAACTTCCATTTATAAAAAAGATACCTTAGAGCAAATGAAAGAAAACTTACATACTGGAAGGTGAGGCTTGTATGTCCAACAAAAACACTAGTTTAATACAAAATATAGAAAGAACTCCTATAAATCAGGTAAAAAACAATAGAAGAGGCTGAAATTTTACAGAATGGGAAACAAATACAGTAGAGAAATAATATGATGAAATGCTCATCTTCATGGGTGATTAGGAAAATGCAAATCAAGATCACACAAAAATAACATTTTACCATCATTTCACTGGCAAAAATCTAGAAGTCTGACTTTACCAAATGCTAGAGAGGACAGGGCTCAACGGAATCTCATATATTGCTGGTGGGAGTATAATTTATTAACAGCTTTAGAAAACAAGCTGGTTTCCTCTCTGAAGATGAACACTCCCATACTCTACTACCTATATGCCAAGCTCTTGCCCGTGTACAGCACCAGAATACTCACAGCAGCCCATTCACGAGTCCAAGGCCCATGGGAGACCTGAGTGGCTAGGTCGGTTAGTCGACCAACTCTTGATATCAGCTTAGGTCATGATCGCAGGGTCGTGAGATTGATTGAGGCCCACATCAGGCCCCAAGCTGGGTCTAGAGTCTGCTTAAGATTCTCTCTCCCCACCCTGCCCACCCCCCCTACTCTCCCTGCCTGTCTTTAAAAAAATAAAGTAAAACAGAAATAAAAAAGAATCCAAAGCCCAACATCAGAAGCCCAACATATAAATCCACTGTGGTATAGTAACACAATGGAGTATCACTAAGTAGGAAAAATGAGGAAACTACACGCCAACAACAGAATGAACTTCAGAAATGTGAAGCTGAATGAAAAGACAATCAACTCTCAGAAAAATACATACAGTGTGATCTTTTTACAAAGTTCAGAACTAAACTGTACATTCCTTAAGTACACACATTCTTGATAAAACTTATTAAAATAAAAAATTAGGTATAAGCAAATATAACTTTTTTTTTTTTTTTTTAACTTGACAGAGAACACAAGCAAGGGGAGTGGGAGAGGGAGAACAGGCTTCCCGCCTGAGCAGGGAGCCCGAAATCAGGGCTTGATCCCAGAATCCTGGGATCATGACCAGAGCTGAAGGCAGACACTTACAGACTGAGCCACCCAGGCGCCCCTAACATTTTATGTTTATTATACTTCAAAAACCTCAGGAAGCAGGAGGATAAGATGGGAAAGTAATTAGATAGAAGATGATAGTAAGATTCTGATTCTTGGCTGATGGTAGGTTTTCAGGGTGTTTCTTATTAAACTGAAAAATACTTTAGTGAATAAAGAAATAAAAGATGACTGTTTCATGCCATCAATGATGCCTACTGTGTCCTAACTCAAAGATTCTGATTAAGCCAAATGTGGGTATCTGAGGTCCATTAAATAAAACAGAACAGGGGCGCCTGGGTGGCTCAGTGGGTTAAGGCCTCTGCCTTCGGCTCAGGTCATGATCCCGGGACCCTGGGATCGAGCCCGGGATCGAGCCCCGCATCGGACTCTCTGCTTGGCGGGGAGCCTGCTTCCCCCTCTCTCTGCCTGCCTCCCTGCCTACTTGTGATCTGTCAAATAAATAAATAAAATCTTAAAAAAAAATTAAAAAAAAAAAAATAGAACAGAAACAAACAAAAAGCACTGGATATCTAAATTAACTCGTCTACCAGCTGAAGCTAAGGAATGTAAGGCTTCAAGGGCTCCTCCCTTGCAAAGGCCCAGTCAGTTGAGGGGCCATGAGTACTCAGGGATACAATCTGGAACCACTTGTGGTGAACAGCTTAGAGAGACCACAGAGGCAAGGGACCTGCATGTCCAGACAGCAGCAGCAGCAGCAGCAGTAGCAGCAATGCTGCAGTTTCTTTCCTCTTTTTAAATAAAGACTCACATTTGTACCCAATTCTGCATTCTTTAAACTGTGCAAGTTTTAGGTGCCACGAAACCTAGCTCTTGTCCTGCTAATCCACTGACATAATCATGCCACAAGCTACACACAAGGGCCTATGGCCGGCCTCTCCCTCAAACCTACCTGGTCCTCCTCCCAGAGGAAACCAAAGTTTGTGTGGCACTCCTGAAGGTCTATTCAACACAAGAATATACAAATACTTCCCCCTCTCTCCCACTTTTTACTTTGAAATGTCAAGCTGACAGAAAATTGTGAGACTAGTACAAAAAGATTGGTCTCCTCTGGCACCACTGGAGATTAACTTGCCAAAATGTGTGTAAAATGACATCACAATGTTATTTCTAAGAGCAAGAGACTAGGAAAACATTCACATCCAAGACCTTCAATTTCAACCAACACCACAGCATTCATTCTAGTTTTCTCTTTCCATATCTGGAAATCCCTTCTCTGACAGTAAGGCACCTGGCTCCGCTCTCAGCAGCCAGCCTGTATAGATGCCACCATCCCACAAGTCTCTGACACCCTGCACTGGGCCACCTGCCCTTCATTCCACTCGGGCTCCAACATGGTGCTAAGCCATCATAGCCATACCTCACCACAGCCATACCTCACCGCAGCCTTTGGTCAATCCCAAGCCTATCCTGCCCACTCTACCTAATGGCTTTTGGAATAAATTATTCAGGAAGGAGGGAAGGAGTAAAAGGGAAAGAGGAAGAAAAGGGTAAGAGAATGCAAAGGGTCTCTCTCTACATTTTCTGTATTAATGATAATGATACCACATTCACAGTCCTGTATCTTAGGGTTTTCATTCAATATGTATTAATGAGATAGCCCCATAGCTAAATAATTTCCTTATTATTTATGGTACCATAACATTCCACAAAATTTCTTGTGGCACACACAAAAATGGTTGCTCAACCAGTCTCCTACTGAGGGATATCTGTGTTCTGCCAATCTTTTGCTCTCCCAAATATCTTTACAAGAATAACACAATTACTGTGATAGTAGAGCAACATATACATTGTAATTTTGCACACTTTAGTACACCTGTGGGATAAATCCTAGAAATAAGTGAAGAGTACAATGACTTTGTAGGGGTGTTTGTTTTTTGTTTTTAGATTTTATTTATTTGACAGAGAGAAACACAGCGAGAGAGGAACACAAGCAGAGGGAATGGGAGAAGGAGAAGAAGGCTTCCCACTGAGCAGGGAGCCCCACATGGGGCTCGAACCCAGGACTCTGGGATCATGACCTGAGCCAAAGGCAGACGCTTAACGACTGAGCCACCCAGGTGCCCCATGCCTTTATAGTTTTGATAGACTTTGGCAAGTAGCTCTCAACAGTGTTTAAGAATACCTTTAACTTATATTTTTACATGATAGGGAATTGAGAATTTCTGGGCATTTGTGGGTTATAAAGCCAAAGCAAAACAAAAACAAAAACAAAAACAAAACCCAACCACTTCCAAGTCCCCAAACATAAAACCCAAGAAACTAAACCAAACCAAAAAAAGACATAGTAGAAGTTTCTTACTTGTTGCCTCAGAGTACAGGGTCTTTTCATCCACACTTTGGACATTACAGGAAACAAACAGTTTCCTTCCTTCAATTTTATCAAGCTGGCTATTTATCACAACAACAGAACAAAGGGGGATAGGCCTGCAGAAAAAAAAAAAAAGGAGACAAAATTTGTTTTTATTAAATTTATGTAACACTGAAATGACCAAGTGCTTGTGAAGGGCTGGAAATCTCTGATAGCTGGTATCAGCATGTGACAGATAGAACTTTCTGAGATCAGACACCCCTACCCTGGGCTGAACCCAGGCTGCCCTTGATGTTAGCTTCAGAGACCACGAGGATTCCAGCTTTTCAATGGCATAGGCTCTCCCATCTGAAGACCCAGAGCAAACTCTGAAGGGTACTGGAATCCTTTAAAGAAATGAAAACATGGCCATGGGAGGTCTCATTCTCTATCATAATCCAAATTTCTCACCCAATCCCCTTTAGAGTGACTGTCACTAGAAAGACACCCAATAACAACAAACTGCAGGTAACAGCTTAATGTACTAAGCTAGGGCCGTCCAAGAGAACTTTCCATAGTAACAGAAATGTCCCACCTCTGGTGTAGTTGTCCACTACAGTAGCCACCTTACAATGAATACCCAAGAGGGGCTGCTGAATCTTTAAATTTAATAAATTTGTATTTCATTTTAAATAGCTACACATGACCAGTGTCTACAGTGGCCTTTGGGAATCCTGGAGACAGAGTGCCATGATGAAAGAGGTACCTTTTCAAAGGTGAAGTGTTACTTGGCAGAAATGTAACATGGAGCAGGATGGGGTCTCTGCTCCTACAGTGCCACCACGGAAAGGAACTACTCCAGGTGGAAGGAAGTCATCACAAGTGATTACCTCTGCCCTGGTTTCGCTCCCATTAGCTTTTCCTGAACCTCCTGACAGAACAACCAAATTCCACTTTTATTACTTTAAACATATTTAAATATATTCTTTATCATGTAGAAAAATCATCTCTAGAATCTAATTTTATAGTATAAATAGTATAAAACTATTTGTTTAATGTCAATGTATAAAAAATATACACTGTATAAATACATTTAAGTATAAATGTATAGTAAAATGTATATATAAAAATGTATAAAATAAAGTCAATGTAAAAAACCACTGACTATATGTAAAGATGACCATTTTTCCCAAGTTGATTTTTAAGTTAATGCAACTGCTATCAAAATCACATTTTGTTTTTTGGTAGATTTTAGCAAATTTATTCTAATTCTCATTTGATTCATTCAAATGATACAGAGGTGGTTGGTAAGACACAGGATTATATAAGAGAAGGTATGGTGACAGTTTGGGTGAGGAGTTAAAAATCTCAAATACAATTAGGAATAAAGGAAACTACCTCAACATAATAAAAACCATGTAAGAAAAGCCCTCAGCTAACATCATACTCCATGAAGAAAGACTGAAAGCTTTTCCTCCTAGATCAGAAACACAACAAGGATGCCTACTTCTGTCACTTCTACTCAACAATTCCACTTCTATACATTAACAATGAACAATCAGAAAATAAAATCAAGAAAATAATTATATTTAAAATAACAGAAAAATAAAATACTTAGGAATAAACATAACCAAGGAGGCAAAAAAAACCGTGTACACTGCAAACTACAAAGCCCTGTTAAAAGAAATTAAAGACAGAAATAAATGGAAAAAGTATCTGTGTTCATGGACTGGAAGAAAATACTAGTAAGATGTCAGTAGTATGCAAGCCAATTTACATATTCAATGCAATCTTAGAAAATCCCAGTAGCTTAATTTTTTGCAGAAAAAGAAAAATCCATCCTAAAATTCATAGGATTCTCACAGGACCCTGAATGGCAAAACAGTATTGAGGGGTGGGGAAGCAAGCTCCAAGTCTCACACTTCCGGATTTCAAAACATATTACAAAGTAATAAAAACAGTGTGGTACTGGCATAAAGACAGACATACAGGCCAATGAAATAGAATAGAGAGCCCAGAAATAAACCCTCTCATCTTGGTCTAATGATTTTCATTAAGAGTATTAAGACTACTCAACGGACGGTGCCTGGGTGGCTCAGTTGGTTAAGCGTCTGCCTTCCCAGGTCAAGTTCCTGGGACCAAGTCCTGCATCAGGCTCCCTGGGAGAGTCTGCTTCTCCCCTTTCCCTCTGCCTGCACCCCCTACTCGTGCTCTCTCAAACAAATAAAATCTTTAAAAAAAATGCAAATCAAAGCACAATGATGTATCACCTCATACCATTAGGATGGCTACTATCCAACAAAAGCAAAAACAAAAAATCCAAGATAACACAGGCTAGCAAAAAGATAGGCTGCTGATGGGACTGTAAAATGATGCAGCTGCTATGCAAACACGTACAGTGGTTCTTCAAAAAATTAAAAATAGAGCTATCATGTAATCCAGCAATTCTACTCGCTGTTTGGTACTTACTCAAAAGAACTAAAAGCAAGATTTCACTGAGATATTTGCATATTCACATTCATTACAGCATTATTTGTAATAGGTCAGCAGTGGCAACACCGCAACTGTTCAATGATGGATGAATGGATAAACGAAATGTGATATATACATGATGGCATATTATTCAGCCTTAAAAAAGAAAAAAAAAATCCTGGGATGCCTGAGGCTTAGTTAAGTCTCCAACTCCTGATTTCAGCTCAGGTCTCAGGGTTGTGAGATCAAGCCCTGCACTTGGCTTGGCACTCAGCGGGTAGTGTGCTTGAGATTCTCTTCCTCTCCCTTTCTCTGTGTACCTCTCCCACCTGCTCTCACTCTCTAAAATATATATATATATATATATATATATCAATCTTTAAGGAAAAAAAGAAAGAAAAAGAAAAATCCTGTTATATGCTACAACATGGACAAAACATGAGGACATTTTGCTAAATAAAATAAGCCAGTTACAAAAAGAGAAAATGTTGTATGGAGTGTATATATATATATATATATATATATATATATTCAATTCATAGAAAGTAGAATGGTGGATACCAGGGCTTGCAAGGACAGGAAAATAGGGAGTTAAGGTTTAATGGGTATAGGGTCTCAGTTTTGCAAAATAAAAAAGTTCTAAAGATTAGTTTCATAATAATATGAATGTATTTCACACTACTCAAAAAATGTTAAAAATATAAGGCACAGGAGTGTCGGGATGGCTCAGTCGTTGAGCATATGCCTTTGGATCTGGTTGTGAGATCCTGGGGCCCTGGGGATCAAACCCCACCATCAGGCTCCCTGCTCAGCAGGAAACCTGCTTCTCCTTCTCTTACTCCCTCTGCTTGTGTTCCCTTTCACTGTGTTTCTGTCAAATAAATAAATAAAATCTAAAAAAAAAAAAAAATATATATATATATAATATATATATATATATAATGTATATATATATATTTTATATATATATATATATATATATATATTAGGCACAAAGCCCATTAAATCTAAAACACCGCTGTGGGGATGCCTGGGTGGCTCAGTCAGTTAAGCATCTGCCTTGGACTCAGGTCATAATCCCAGGGTCCTGGGATTGAGACCTGCTCCTTGCTCAGCAGGGAGTCTGCTTCTCCCTCTGCCTGCTTCACTTGCCGCTCCCCCTGCTTGTGCATGCTCTGACAAATAAATAAATCTCTAAAATTTAATATATCATAAAGTAAGATACCAAAAAAAACTAAATACCATGTGAACTCATAAACTTACTAAATGTTAAGAATTTTCCAGCTGTCACACAGAAATGGCCCAGCAGCAAGGTTATCCTGCCCACCATGAGAACACACCTAGTATTTTCCTAGTCTTTTGCACTATTCTCCACTCAAGAGAAATCAGCAATCTTTACAGAGTAGCTACTATATGTCTTGGCATAGATACACCTCACTGTTGCTAAAAGAAAAGTAATGACAGTGACAACACTAACAATAATAAGCAGCCAACACTCACTGAGTACTTATATGGCCAGATATTGTTCTAAGTGCTCTACATGCATTCACTCATTTACAGCTCATAATGACCCTATATTTATGGTGGATATTATCCTCTTTTTAAAGATGAGGAAATTAAAGCATAGAGAGTTAAGAAACCTGTCTAAGGCCATACAGGTGCTAAGTGGCAAAATGGGCATTTGAACCTGCTCCAACGTCCTCTTAACCACTACATTATACTGTCACTCTGGAGACAAAAGTACTTAAAATTCCATCTGGAAAGAACTGAAAGGACAGGACCTAGGTCCAAAGAAACTCCTAACAGGCCAAATGCAATTTAAGCACAGAAAAGAGTGTGATGATTAGGACTACGTTATGGAAAGCCAGGAGTCCCTAATGATTCTGAAAAAAGGGAAAAAGTAACACAAGAACTATAAAACTATAGCTATAATTAAAAAATAAGGATGGCTATGATTGGATAGGTTTAATTTTTGAAGCAGTTTACATACAGAGAACAATGAAGATAAAAGTTACGTCTGCCTTCACAGTATTTTACTCTATTAAAGGTCATGGTAACAGCTGAGCTGACAGGTGAAAAGAACACCTATGCATATTGGTGGATTTACACCAGACAACTGCCATTTGGGGGTTTATATATGTCTGGCACAATCTAAGAGCCCTCATTAACCCTCTCCCCACATCAACTGGCAGAGAACTGTCAGGAAGCCAAATAATTCCAGAAAATGCAGGAATGGTACCCTTTACAGAAAGGACTGATTACAGAAAAGAACCAAGGAGAAAGAAGGCAAATGCGTTGCCCACCTGAGTATCTCTGAAAGAGGTACTTCCATAAGAAGAGATGCTTCCATAAGAAGCATTTCCTTTACCGTGTGCACACCAATCTCTGTCTCAAGGTCTGCTGCCTGATCCAGGACATGTAAGAAGCAGGTAATACCCAGGAATTTACCTCCTAAAATTGATGTTGAGATTGGCAGTCATGACAGCTCCCCCAGTTATAAGTGCACACATACCAACAGTAGAATCAATCATGGTTGCAATGGCACCTCCGTGAAGGAATCTAGTTAAAACAAAAGAAAAAAAAGAAAAATGTTTTCAGAAGGTCTAAAAACAGAGCCTCTGGAGAGAAACTACCCAAGCACATCTCCATATAATTTACTTATGAAAGGTCCACTTGGTCCATGTTCAATGAACTCAAATAATATCCATGTCCCCAGATTTATTTCATTCTTAGCATAATACTATAGTGTTGCTAATACACCAGAACTTAATGGTAATCGGATACTAATTCATTTAACTGTATATAACACTTTAAAAATGTAAGAAATGCAGGGGCGCCTGGATGGCTCAGTTGCTATGAGGCTGCCTTCGGCTCAGGTCATGATCCCAGCCCACATCAGGCTCTCTGCTAGGCAGGAAGCCTGCTTCTCCCCTCCCACTCCCCCTGCCTGTGTTCCCTCTCTCGCTGTGTCTTTATGTCATATAACTAAATAAGGGATCGAGCCCCACATCGGGCTCTCTGCTCGGCAGGGAGCCTGCTTCCTCCTCTCTCTGCCTACTTGTGATCTCTGTCAAATAAATAAATAAAAAAAAAAAATCTTAAAAAAAAAAAAATAAAATCTTTTGAGAAATGTAGGAAAGGCAGATCAACAAAGAAAAATAAATTAAAAATCAGAAGGCCTATAATGCCACCATCTAGTGACAAATCAGTTAACATGTTAATGATACTCTTTTGCCCTGTCTCATACTTTTGAGATTTAATATTTATAAACATCTTTCCATGTCAATAAATATGTATCTACATTGCCACTTCAATGCCTTTATTGTAGTCTATGGATAGGTATGACTACAAGCTAGCCATCTTTCAGATGCTACTAATCAATGGGATGCTATCATTCTTACCCAGGTATTCCTTGCAGGTAAGGACCTCCTTGCAATATACAAACTGTCCTGTTTTCAACATGATTATGGAACATCGCATATTCAAACCCCAGACCTTCCTCAAAGCTTCTGGGAAAGAGCCGAGCCTGTGACAATGGTTCTTCTTTCACAGGCTTTGCATCTGTAGGGAAATGAGGTGGATGAGCATATGAGAAAACAGGATGAGAAAGATGCCCTGACAGAGCTAAGCATCTGTACCATGCAAGAACCACAGGTTAATGGATGACTGATTAAAATGTCAACCAGGTACAAAATTAGAGGGAATGGGAGCATTCCACAGAAACAGAATATAGGGTCTTGGGGCACCTGGGTGGCTCAGTGGATTAAGCCTCTGCCTTCGGTTCGGGTCATAACTCCAGGGTCCTGGGATCAAGCCCCGCATCAGGCTCTCTGCTCAGCGAGAGCCTGCTTCCCTCCCCTCCTCTGCCTGCCTCTCTGCCTACTTGTGATCTGACAAATAAATAAAATCTTAAAAAAAAAAAAATATATAGGATTTTTGCCCTTATGGACTTAACAGTCTAATTGGGGACAGAGTAAACATAAATGAAATCAAAACCAAGTACTTACTCACACATGGCAATCAGGAAATATACTGTATCAATGCTGAGGGTACACTAAATGAAACAGTAAATAAGGTACAAAGTCTTCTTGGAACAAGTACAGTTTAAATGGGATTTAAAGAAAATTAAGTGTTAACAGTAGGGAGGTCTTCTCTGCAGAAGTGAGTCTAGCCTCAGCAGAAGAAAAGTTATCATACTGGATCAAAATCAGGTCCAGTTCAGTTGAATATTCTGTGTGACTAGGACTCTAAGGCCCCAAATTCAGGGTTAGAAGCATTAAGGTTAGTAAAATCAAATTAGTGAGTTGTAATCAGACTTTAAAAGAAATAGAATGCTTCCAGGCAACAAACAGTATTCTTATTTAGACACGCTTTTTCAGTTACACATCTGTGCCCAAGTTGTGTGTTAGTGGGCTGAGAGTCAAAACGCAGGTCACTTCCAAGCAAAGACTGAAAGCTATTGTTCTGAAGGTAGGGCGTGTTTAAACTTACACACCAATGTTAAGATTTAATTCCCCAGGGCGCTTGGGTGACTCAGTGGGTTAAAGCCTCTGCCTTCGGCTCAGGTGGTCCCAGAGTTCTGGGATCAAGCCCTGCATCGGGCTTTCCGCTTAGCAGGGAGCCTGCTTCTTCCTCTCTGCCCCCTTGTGATCTCTGTCAAATAAATAAATAAATCTTAAAAAAAAAAAAAAAAAAAAAAGATTTAATTCCCCAAACTCTACTTTCTCGGCTCATCATGATTTGCCATGCCTAACACTAAATTTCTTTTGTTACTAAACTTGTATTTACAAAGTTTGAAAAGGATAGGAGATGAGACTACTTGGGAGAAGAGGGGAGAATGCCTTTATTTTAGGCTATGAACATCCCTGGGGACAGGTGCCCTTTTAGACTCTGTCTGCTCCACAAGTGGCATACATTGTGTATGCACACACTATACGCACTCTAGTGGTTGTGGAGAAAATTAAGGGAGCCAGACAGTTAAAATGGAGGACCAATATCATAGGAGTTGGGAAAAGTGAGTTCTTTGCCTAGAACTTGTTCCATCCTCCACACTTTATCCAGACAGTGAGGAGATAAACCTCAATGACTCTGAGAGCCATCTAACTGACACTGGAACTTCAGTTAATAAGCAACAAACCCTTCTAATTTTTTACTTAAGAGTTGAAAATTTGTGGGGCGCCTAGGTGGCTCAGTGGGGTTAAGCCTCTGCCTTCGGCTCAGGTCATGATTTCAGGGTCCTCGGATCGAGCCCCAGATCGGGCTCTCTGCTCAGCAGGGAGCCTGCCTCCCCCTCTCTCTCCCTGCCTCTCTGCCCATTCTCTGTCAAATAAGTTAAGACCTTAGAAAAAAAAAAAAAGTTCAAAATTTCTGATCTAGATTACCAAACCCTGAGGTTACCTCACAGAAATGAGAAAACAAAGATGTAAAGTAAATTCTGTTAGAAATGCAGACTGTCAGGCTCTACCCTGACCTACTGAAGTGTGGCCTGCATTTTTAACAGGACTCTCAGGTGCCTCATATTCATGTTCAAATTTGAGGCGCACTGGCCTTTTACAACACAGGATAGCAGTGATGATAGCAGGAGTGACATGGCTGGACTTGCATTCTGAATCACTCTGCCAGCTGGATGAAAGGAGGGATTGATGGGGATGAGAAAGATGAGGGGAAGGCCACTGAAACACTACAAAATTACGGTCACCAGCTTATTCCCTGGGTGAGGTGACTGTCCCCAGCGTTAGAGAGAGATGATGCAGCTAGATTTGTCCAGGGTTGGGGTTTTCGTAGATGAGTAGGCCAGAAGTTCAGACAAATGAGGTCAAAGAATTGCTTCTGTGAGCCTTAAGCAAGCCAAGATGGAAGGAAGACAACCATGGTCAGGAAACTGTCTAAATGTGTGAATGCGGAGGCTGTTAACTTGTTGCAGGTAAGGCTCAGGATGTCTCTGGCTTGTACAGCTGGGGCTGGGTGAAGAGAGATCACAGCTGACAGGAAGCTAAGTGAACTGAAATGATGGGGACTCAGATGGTGAACCACGTGTTGAAATACTCTGTGAGGAAGAGGTTGGCAAAGGACAGCCAACACAGAGGGTGACAATGTCAGATGGTAGAAACCCTGTTCAAAGGAAGGGGTTTCTAAGAGGAACAGGAAATATGGGTTGAAAGCAAGTGTGGGTAACCAGTAGTCCAAGTCCCCCACACCAAATTCAGAGAGAGTCAAGTTTCAGGCAAGAACCATGAACCATGTGGGAAAGGAGCCCTGGAAAATACTGATATTTAAGGAGCAGGGAGGAGAGAGAGAAGACTAGTCAGAGAGGTTTGTGAAAGCCAAGAGAGAAGTTCCAAGGAGAATGAGATCAACAGAGAGGTCAAGTACTGTAAAGGCCAAAAAATGCCCTCCAAATTTGGTATTCAGGTCACTAGTAGTTTAAGTAAAGAAACTTCCATAGAGCTGTTAGGGGAGAAGCCAGATCACACTGTTAAAGACGATCAACTGTGTGACAGGATGAAGAGCCAGAATGGAGTTAGTAATACCAGTTACTAATTTTCCCCTTCATTTGTAAAACAAAGTAATTATTTTTCTCTATTGGCAGTTCTATCAAGAAACTTGTGAACTCTACCATTTTTCTAGGTTAAAACTAGTTTTATTTTTCTTTCCTTCGTTCTTTCAACAAATGAAGTACCTACCATGAGGTATTGGAGGCAAGGAATAACTTGCTCAAGGTCATACAGCTTTAAACTGTGGAACCCAACTGGAACCCACACACTAAACTTCAACAGTAAAGTAGGAAGCTGTCAGCTTTTGGACGGTGTCCAAAGCCATGTGAATGAATGGGATTACCAACAGGGTAGCTGAGATGTGGGGTACCCTAACATTAAGATTTAGAGGCAATGAGGAACCGGCAAAAGACATGGACAGGAAAAGACAAATGAAGTAGGGGAGTGTGAGGTCTTGGAAGCTAAGTAGGGGAGTGTGCAGCCTTGGAAAGGAGGCACTGGCTGTGCCAAAAGCTGAGAGGTCACTGGTTAGCATCGTGAAGGTCACTGTGCCCTTGACAAGAGCAGTTTCAATGAAGTGATAAAATTCTGACTGGAGTGGGTTCTAGAGCAACTGGAATAGAGAAAGAGTTGTGGCATGTCTGGCACTGATGACAAAGACCCAGCACAGTGGGAGGTGTGTAAGTAGGCCAAAGGGGGGGCGGGGAATGCAGTGCACAGAGACAAGGCTTGGCTCCCCTAAGAGGAGCCGTTAACAGGAAAAACAGGAAAAAGCAGAACACCAGGCACAGATTCAGGGAGTGGATAAATGAGGCAGAGGGTGGATGGAAGTTTTTTTCTGAATGCTTTTACTTTCTCTTAGGGTTACAGGAGGCAGATCAACTGAAACAAGGCTTGAGAAAGTAGGATATAGTCTTCTAGGACAGCAGGAGCATGAACAGACAGGCAAAAATGAAAAATGCTTCTCAGGCAACATTAAGGGCCTACTCAAGGTTATTTTGTAAAAAACCATACTAATCCTGAGGTGTCTGGGTGGCTCAGTCAGTTATGCGTCTGCCTTCAGCTCAGGTCATGATCTCAGGGTCCTGGGATTGAGTCCTACCCCACCCAACCCCCACCAACATCAAGTTCCCGGCTCCACCAGAAGCCTGCTTCTCCCTCTTTCCTTCTCCCTTTTCCTCCCTCCTCACCCCCAACTTGTGCTCTTTCTCTCTCACAAATAAAAAAAATCTTTTTTTTGTTTAAAGATTTTATTTATTTATTTGATGGACAGAGATCACAAGTAGGCAGAGAGGCAGGCAGAGAGAGAGGAGGAAGCAGGCTCCCTGATGAGCAGAGAGCCTGACCCGGGGCTTGATCCTGGGACCTGAGATCATGACCTAAGCCAAAGGCAGAGGCTTTAATCCACTGAGCCACGCAGGCACCCCACAAATAAAGAAAATCTTAAGAAAAAACAAACAAACAAAAACCCATCACAATCCCCAAATTATCCTCAGGGATGAGTCTGGATGACTACAAGATAATGAGTAAATTAGGAAATATCTGTATAAGCTCTGTTTACCATCTGTTTACTAAGGTCTATTCTAGAACTACAGTACTTAGGGCAGCAGAAATGCTCAAAAGATAGTTACTGAAGCAGCAAATCCTGGATTTGCAAAGAAGCAGCCTAAAAGGTCTTTATAGCCTGACTCTAAAAATGAAGAATATATTAGGTATATACATAAACTTCAGTAAGGTTCAACGAGTTGGCCACGTAGGTGCAGAAAAAGGGAGACCAACAGTTCACACAAACGACACAGGTTGTTTAGTGGACTCTTAGTGGAAAGTGGGACATGGCTACCCACCTACTGCTAATGTCTTATTCTAAACTGAAAGGATATAAATGGTTTCAAGCTTAGTTCTGGGAAACACACACTAAGAATTCTGAGAAAGTGGAACGTGTCCTGGAAAAAGCAACCAGGCTTATAGAACAAACTGAAATGTCCTCTGGGAAAAATACCTGAAAAAACAGAGAAGAGAAGCCTGGCAACAAGAATTGTCAGGCACAGGTGCGAGATGCATGTATCT